ATATAAAACCTTTGATGACCTTGGCCTGTGTCATTCTTAAATAAATTTGGCTTTTCTGAAGTTAACAAAATCCAAAGATTATTGCATGGTGCTATGACATTAATTTGTCTTGCTTGATGTGTTTTGTAAGTGAAATATGTATGTTTAATAAACTCAGTTGCATTTAATTCATGCTTTGGATTATGTTTGAGATGCTATAAGATTTATCAAATGCCACCCAGATGAAGAATACCTTACAGTTTTGAGACTCTTTTGCTTCCTTACTCTATGTCATTGGAGGCATACAGTAGCTTTCTTAGGTGAAATTAATCACTTTCACAGATGCAGAAACAGAAGTTCAAAGAAAATACAGACAGGAAGTCCAAGTTCAACAGTCTGAATATTTGTGTCTTTTATACATGTATACATTGAAAGGAAGTCACCAAGGCCTTTGGAGATTAGATCTTGAGGGTGGAGGGCTCATGAATGGGACTGATTTTATGCTTGCATAAAAGAATCCCAAAGAGAAGGCAATAGGGAGGAACCCACGCCAGACACACTGACATGCAGAACCCACTCTGTCTTGATCTTGGATTCCCAGTGTTCAAAAGAAGACAGATAAATTACTGTTTCTTATAAGATATCCAATCAACTTTTGTAGCCCCGCCCCCCACGAAAGACAACCAATGGGCTTTTGATTCATGTTTCAGTTCTGCTATCCAAAGCTTGTGTATTTTCAGCAAGTTACTTGACCTCCTTGTAACTAGTTGCCTTGTATTAAAAATGTGACTAGCAATAATTATATAAATATTACAGACATATGTAATGAAAAATGACCTGGGTTTTACATGGATCAAAGTGAATACAAGTACCCACAAGAAGTGCATTCTCATAGTGTGCGCGTCTCAGAGAGCTGTGCAACCCACTTAAACTGTAATTTTTTAAAAAATACAAATATCAACTATTTCCCATTTTTTAAATGTGTACAGACTGAATGATTCCAATCCGAATGATTTTTTTTTTCCTCCCAATAACCCCCAGAAATCGGAGTAAAGAAATTTGAGAGAGCAACAGGGACATCATAGTGCAGCTGGAGCAGTCTTTCTTCATAAATGAGGAAAGTGAGTATTCGCAAAGAGAATTGTCTGAATTTATACATTTCCCCCTAACTTCAGATTCGGAGGCATCAGCCATAAAAAGCACAGTCACGTCCCATTTCTTAGGTTCACAAAAGGCTACATTCCCGGCCTGTGGAAGTAAACTTTACACTTGAGGCAAGGCCGGAGGGTGAGGGGCCAGAGGTCAGAGGGCGGGCTCGACAGGCTGGGGCGGGGCCAGAGGCCCAGGGGGCGGGCCCGGCTGGCCGGGGGCGGAGCCCATCCCGGGACGTGCCCACGCCGCCCCACCCCTCCAGGCCTCGGACCTGTCAGCTCCGGGCCGTGCGTACCGTGCGGGGTGAGTGGGGCAATCCCGCAGGGGCGGCGCGTGTCAGTGAAGCTCCAGTCGAGCTGAGAGCTGCGGCTGGGGCGGCCCGCCGGGCACAGGGACGGGGTGGGCCTGCAGGTCTCAGGGGCGAGCCGTGGGCAGCGCGCGGCCGACACACGTGCGTTCCGTCCGAGCTCTCTGAGCCGGCTTGCGCGCACACGGTAGGGCTGGGGGAGGGCACGGGCCACGTGTGCGCCCTGAAGAAATGCGTGGAGGTGCTGCTTCCACTCTTTCCTGACCCAGCACACCTCACTGCCCTTTCCGCTTAAGCACAAATGTGGATGACTGCCTGCCTGTCTGGCACCGGGTCGCCCCTTAGAGGAATGAGCACAGGCTTCCGGAAGTCGGAAGGCACCGGGTTCGCCACTCATTAGCTGTACTTCCGGTGCCGGGAGTTTGATTTTACCGCTGAAGGGATCGGATTACCCAGCTCTTTTTACTGGCCCTGACGGTTTTTTGGGCCTTATCCTTTGTAACGTCATGGTCTCCCCAATACATTAGTAAGAAGCAATTCATCTTCTGTATAAAGCTCAGAACATAACTGCCAAATCACGGCTTTAGTGGATCCTTTTTGACTTGATGAAAACTTGTGTACGCATAATAAATATTTCAGATCAGCCTCGGTGACATTTTTACACACATTCAGGTGTGTGTTTGAGGCGAGTTCAACTAGTGTTCTGTTAGCGTTCCTAAAATTTATCTTAACTACCTACTTACGTGGTTGTAGAGGCCTGCCTCCAGAACTGGCAACCTTCCAGAAATCTAAAATCCAAATGCCAGCCACAAGCCGGCCTTCAAAGGACAGGAGTTACACATGTTTTCTTAACTTTCTTTTATAGAATCTATTTTCATATCTTTCCTAGTTTCTATTGCTAAAACTTTGATTGATAAAACACTGGCCAAAACCAACTTGGGAAGGAAAGACTTTATTTGACTTAACAGCTTATAGTCCATTATCAAATGAAGCTGAGGGGGGAACTTAAGCAAGGCAGGAACTGAGCACAGCCCATAGGAACACTTGCCTAGTGGTTTGTTCCTCTTGCTCAGCCTGCTTTCTTTTATAACTTAGGAGCACCTGCCAATGGTGGTACCTCCCACAGTAGGCTGAGCCCTCCCTTATCAATTAGCAGTTAAGAAAATGCCTCACAGACAGGGGCACTGGCCAATCAGAGGGAAAAGTGCCTCAAATGAGGTTCCTTCTTCCCAGGTGTATCAAATTGACAACCCAGGCTGCCTTGCATCTCTTCAGAATTACAGATATTGACAGTGTGTTGTCTCACCATGGCATTGATTCCTGGGTTGAGAATTCAAGCTGTTGAATAAAAAATAATATCCAAAACATTTTCAGAAAGTTTATCTCATTGACCATTTATCCTAACACTGCAGTTTAGCTTTCTTCAAATTGTCCTTACTCTGTATGGTGGGGTTGTTAGTATCAGTTTGTAATCATTGTTCCACCATGGTTCTTTCAGCCTTTGGAAAGAACTGTGGTTTTCATTGTCATGGAATTTAGATGGTAAGATGAGACCATTAGATAGTTTTATATTTGTTCAGCTTCCATTTCCTAATTTGTTCAGTTTACATCTGGACATTTTACAAAGTTCTTTTAAAAATTAGTTGTTTCTGGCGGGGTGTGGTGGCGCAATCTTTGGGAGGCAGAGGCAGGCGGATCTCTATGAGTTCAAGGCCAGCCTGGTCTACATAGTGAGTTCAGGACACCTGGGGCTACAGGGAGACCCTGTCTCAAAAAGACCAAAAAAAAAAAAAAAAAAAACTCGTTATTTCTTTTATATAACAAACTTTCCCAGGTAGAATACTCATTTGGTCCACAGTGTTGGCTGAAATACTACTTTGCTATGATGAGAGAAAAAACAGCCATCTTGCAATCCTGGTAATACAATAAGAAATAGTAACATTTATAAAGACTAGCCTTGAGGAAAATTTGGTTTTTATAAGCACTGATTCTTAACCGCTTCAGAGTTTTTGAGGAATCTGGGGAAAAGAATCTCCTCAGGAAAAGAAAGAAAAAAGTACAAGTTTAACATTCCTAATCCAAAACTCTGAAATCTGACATGTTCTAAAATCCAGCTTAAAGATTTATTTTCATTTTGTGTGTATGAGTGTTTTGCCTGCATGTATGTGGATGTATCACCTGTGTGTGCAGTACCTTGAGAGGCCATAAGAGGACATTGGGTCCCCTAGAACTAGAGTTACTGTGATTGTGAGCCACCATGTGGGTGCTGGGAACTGAACTCATGTTCTTTACAAGAGCAGCCAGTGCTCTTAGCTACTGAGCCATCTCTAGCCCCTAAAACCCAACTTTCGGAAAGATTCACCTGACCTCATGGGATAGTCTGCAGTTAACTGCAGGAACACTAGAAACATTGTATAAAATTGCCATCAAGCTATGTTTATAAGCATATATGAAATATGAATTTTTTTATGGCTTTGATCTTAAATATTAACACCACCCCCCAAAAGAAGCAGATGTGCTTAATGGCACAGTTATCAACCTCTGAGACTTCTGAGAGGTGGTGGAATCTTTAGGAGCTGGGCCTAGTGGTGGGAAGGTAGGTTGCAGGAGCAGGGGTGTGCCCTTGAAGGAGATATTGGGACCCCAGCCTCTTTTCTCTCCCTATTTCCCTGTCACTGTGAGCTAACTACACCATCACATGCTTCTAGTCATGATGTTGGAACTCTGCATAAGAACCAAATAACAGAGCCAACAATGTACAAAAGCCCTTGAAATTGAGCCAAGATAAATCTCCGCACTTTTGAGTTGATTATCTCAGATACACAATTTCATGTCCAGACTTAGTTAGGTCCCATTCCCAGGCATCTCATTACATATTTGCAAGCATTCCAAAATCAAACACTTCTAAATATTTTTTGCAAAGGATATTTGCTCTTACAGAATTTTGAGTCTCAGAATATTTGTCTACACTTCTTGAACCCAGATGAGGGAGATCTTCTATACAGTGACAATACTTGTGGTTTGGGGATGTTTGGGATATTGGTCCTTTTGCTGCCTACATGTGTACAGCAGACCTGCAGTGCTGTCACCCACCAGATGGAAGACTGCTAGAAACATGGTGTCTCAGCTCCCTTCTTGGAGGTGGTGAATCCACTTGATGCCCTGTGGTTTTTGTTCACTTTAAATTTGGAGAAGTGCTGTGCTAGAGACTAATGATGTTGGTGTTTTATGACTTGTTTTAAGCTTTTTGAAGATTTGATACATAACGATTTCTAACCTTCATTTTTAAACCTTTATTTAATTATTTATTTATTTATTTATTTATTTATTTTAAATGGACAAAGGGTCCTGATAAAGAGGCAGTTTTCAACAATAGGCTCAGGTTCGGAGGTGGAATGTTTTCAGCGTTTGGAGCCTTAGAAACAAGCAGAGCCTCAGTCCAGCCACCAGGTGATGCCGGTAGCCCAGGGCACATTGGTTCCCACCTAAGGATAGTTGAATATGGAGCTGTGTTGAGCAGCGCCTGGCAGCAGACAGCTGTTGGTGGTTCTCCATCAAATGTTCATAACTCAGAGAGTACATCTAATTAAATGCAGGACCTGGGGCAGATTGCAGACAAATTCAAGATTTTTGGCTGTGCTGTTTCAATGTCCGTAGGCTAAACCTTTGGATAGGAACTGCTGAGACAGTTGAATACTTTAATTTGGAACAATCATGTCTCCTAATTAATAATGAATTCCAGTAATCAATGCCTACATACACAAGAAAATCATGTTTTCCTTTAAATGAAAGCACAATCTTAGTGGTGTTTGAGGCTGAGTCATCTTGGAAGAAATGACACTGGCTAAAGCAGTCTCATATCCTGGAAGAAGTGGCACTGACAATGAAGAGTGCTCAAACAAGCAAGATGGTCACGCACGGCCTGTGTGTGCACTCATGGGAACCTAACCACATGTCTTATTCTTTTGGTAGGTTTGCATTTCCTCCCTTGTGAAAAATGCCAAAGAAAGCAAAGCCTGCAGGGAATGGGAAGGACGAGGGGGCTGTTCCTTGTAAGCAGGTGAAAGTGGAGGTTGCTGCAGGCCTTTCTGCCTTAAATTTTGACAGCCCCAGTAGTCTCTTTGAAAGTTTAATCTCACCCATCAAGACAGAGACTTTTTTCAAGGAATTCTGGGAACAAAAGCCCCTTCTCATTCAGAGGGATGACCCTACGCTCGCCAAGTATTACCAGTCCCTGTTCAAACTAACTGATCTGAAAAGCCTCTGCTGCCAAGGGTTATACTATGGAAGAGATGTCAATGTCTGCCGGTGCATCAGCGGGAAGAAAAAGATTTTAAACAAGGATGGCAAAGCTCATTTTCTTCAGCTGAGAAAAGATTTTGATCAGAAAAGGGCAACAATTCAGTTTCACCAACCACAGAGATTTAAGGTATCAGATTTCTCTACTACAAAGTCCTCATACGTATAAAAGTACTATAGCATTTGACCACAGATCAGGTCACGACTGAACATAGTATGGAGGTGGAGATCATTTTGAGAAAGCATAGTGCTGTACCTGTGTGAGAAGGCATGGCATCTATTCAGTCTTTAAATACATTCCAACTCGGGATAATCATTTGTCTTTTGGCTAACTTTGTGTACGTGGTGTATGTGCATGCACACATGTGTGCTGGTTGTGTAAAGGCAGGAAGTTGATGGCCAGTGTTGTGTTCTATTGCTCTCCATCTTATTTTTTGAGACAGGGTCTCACTGAACCTGGGGCTAGCCATTTAAGTAAACGGGCTAGTCATTAAGCTTTGGGGATCTACCCATCTGCTCTCCCCTCCCCCAGGTTCTTGGGTTACAGATGTACCCCTCCACCTCAGCTTTTATGTGGGTGCTGGGGATCTGAACTGAAGACCTTGTATTTGCACAGCAAGTGCTGTTTCCCACTGAGCCATATTTACAGCCTCTGGCTAAAGTTTTCAAAACTCCAGTGACTCTAGATGGACGTTTGGGGTATTATAGTGCTACCAAAACTGAATATTACAATTTCTAACCTTACTAATGTAACATTACACCCTCAGGAGTATGTTTTCTGGGCTGATTTTTGTATATAGTAGCGAGCTCTATGTGTTTTCCTGTTACTGTATTCGAAGGCTTGTTAACATCAAGGTGGTGTTTTTTTGAGGGTTGTCTCCCTTTACTGCCTACATCTTTCCAAATGGAGACTTCAGAAATGTGACCAGATGATATACCAGATGCATGTCCAAGAAAGATACATTAGCTTTTATTAACAGAACCTGTGATGTGATGGGTAAAGTCCTGATTGGTGGCCTACATAAGGAGAGTATAGCTTCATTTTATAGAGAAGCTAGAGTCATAGAGCTTGTAACTACAACTTGGACCAAGGTGGTTTTTCTCCACAACTCACAATTGACAGCTCCAGAAGCCAGAGGTCTTAGATAAATGGGAAAATTGTAGAGTTAGTAGAGTAGTTAGTAGTTAGTTAGAGTAGTTAGTAGAGTAGTTTTTGGTAACCCACGTGAAGAAAAGAGACAGACATTCCTCAGTTATGGACCAGTGTTGTTTTTTAATCTTTTCAATCAGAATTGATACTTGCATTGGGAACCATAAAGTCACCCATACATTCCAAAAAAATAAGACAAGCCGTGGTTTCTAATGGTGCCAGTTACCATATAAAAATAATTAAAGAACCAGGTCCTATTGGGCTTGCCCCAAAATAAATTGGCCCTTTTGGGAGCTCTGTTAACTCTTTAAAGCTATTGAGAGACCGTTAAGTTTATTTATTCTGTGTTAAGGAGAACCTCTGAGAACTATAAATAAGGAAACCCAGTGGTCTTCATAAAGATGTCTCCCAAAGCTTTTTCATACTGACCCAGTTCTTCACCACTTGCTATTTTTAACACTAGATTCCTTTCAGTCCAGTGGTAGAACTGATTCTCAAGCTATGTTCATTGGTTTACTCTGCAACAGATCTTTTATTGTATTATCTTCTTTGTGCCAGCCACTACACACTGGTAAGTTTAAAACTTTGGTCTCTTTAATATCTGTTTAGTGTAGGCGACATGCCTTTTCCAGAGTATCTTCAAGGTACAGGCTCTGAAGCTGGGCTGCCCAGATTGGAGTCTTGCCTCCAGTGAATAGTTGTATGTTTCAGTGCTTCAGTTTACTTACTTGTAAACTGGAGCTAATGATATTTCCTACATTCTGAGATAGGATTGTTGTGAAGGGTATACAGTTAGCATATGTTAAGCACTTAGAAGCAGGGATGTTCTGTTACCTACAAGGGTCTAGTTCCTAGCTTCCTTGTTCTTACCTGTCTTGTGAGGCTCAGATCTCTCTCATTCAGTCATACCTTGGCCCTCAGTTCTCCTTATACCTAATGAGTGGAGAGAGGGACCCTTACTCAGCCTAGTTCTCACTCCTCTGTCTGTACTCCTTCTAGGTTGTTGTTTTCATTCCCATTGCTTTAAATATTTATTTTCAGCCGTTCTCAAATGTAAATCTCTGACCTTACTGTCAGCACCTCAGACTTAAAACCATAGCCACATAGGGAATCATGACTTCCCAAATTTAACATTTCTAACTTAGAACTCTTTGTTTTTTCCTCCTGAAAACCTTTTATATGTCTGTGTGCTCATGTGATGGCCAGAGGTTGGCACTGGGTGTCTTCCTCTCTCACTTTCCACCTTGTGTTTTTGAGACGGGATCTCATATTGAACCTGGAGCTCCCCGATTTGGCTAGACTGGCTGGCCAGCAAGCCTCAGGGATCCTCCTATCACATCACTGCCTCCCCAGAGCTGGGGTTATAGGCTTGCACTGTGCCAGGCTTTTTAAGTAGATACTGGGAACCCAAATTCAGGCCTTCATGCTGTGGCAGGCACAGTACTTTACTCACTGAGCCATCTCCTCAGCCCCTGAAAACTTTTATTTTTTTCCAATAGCCATGTCCCATCTTAATAAATGGAATCAGGAGCTCATTGATCAGATAAAACTTTTTTACTACATCCTGTTCTTCCTCCAGACTGCTTCTCCACTTTTTAAATTTCTCTCTGGCTGTCTAACCACACTGCTGATTTCTTGCCTGCACTGCTTCCTCCGCTTCTTCACGAGTCTCTCTTGCATCTCTATGATCCTTTTTGCACCCAAGAGCCAAAGTGAGCTTTTAAAAGTATAAACTGAGTTGTTTCTTCCTCATTAAAATTCCTTCTAAGACTCCCAGGTACCTGCCTTGCCTAGGCTCACATCTTTCACGTGGTATGTGCACTGGAAGGAAAGATTCCTAAGGAACCTTTCACTATTTGCCTGACCTGTAATAACTGTGTAGTAAAGACTTCTTATGTGAATAAGAACATTTGCTTTCTTATTTCTATTTCCCCATCCCATTTCTTTTTTCTTTTTCAAAGGATGAGCTTTGGAGGATCCAGGAAAAACTGGAATGTTACTTTGGCTCCTTGGTTGGCTCGAATGTGTACATAACTCCGGCAGGATCTCAGGGCCTCCCTCCCCATTATGATGATGTTGAGGTAAGAGAGGAAACCAATTGCCCAGGGTAGAGAGAACGAGCTGCCGAGAGCCAGACTTGTGTGATTGTCAAGGTTGAGTTCTCAGTGCTCTCGAAGGCTCTTAGTGAAGGTCTGTAGCTGTTTTTTCTGTGTACTCTCTGGAGATCTTGACCTCATCTCAGTGTTGGGCCAAGACAAATCCTGCAAACTGATTTCCTGTTCCTTCTCAAAACAGGGGAATTGTTGCCAGCCTCACTAACATAAAGGCTCCCAGTCTTTAGACACAGGTATTCACAAAGTAAAATAAGGTGAAATCACAAATAATCTTTATGTCTGTTTTCACTTTGTCCTTTTGCAGTAGTTGCCAAAAATGTCTATATTTTTTCCATTTGTAAAAAATTTGGTGTAGCTTGAATGAAGATCATGATTTCACTAATGTCCTGGCACCTTGACAAGTGTTGATTTCATTCTCATGTGGCTTCCAAAAAAGTTAATTCATTGGCTTGAGTGTTTTGTAGTTTTATTTTTGTACTAATACAAGGTGTGAACACACAGAGATATTAGCAAAAAGTCCCTTTTTATACGTCAGAGAGCAATTTGATATAAACACATTTTGCAAAAGTGTTGGTCTTTTTTTTTTTTTTTAAATATATCTTTAGCTGAATTAAGAATATAAAACTTTAGGGTTTTCCTGTCTGCCAAGGTGCTTTGGGGCATTTGTGGATATCTGAGAGTTTTCTATCCGATTATGAGTTTTCAGCTATGCTGCTGATAGAAGAAATTAAGATAGTGAGGTAGAAAGAACTCAGTGATACTATGACAGAGTGAAAAGAATGAATGTCAGGATTTCAGTATCAGGATTCCTACCTATTTTAAAAAATACATACCACCAGTAGCAACTTGTATCTGTGTGAAGAACATGCATTTTTGATCTCTTAATTTTACTTTTTTCTGAGACCTGAGGTTCACTTAAACTCTCAGAAGTTGTATATTCTAGACGCTCCCTGCGATGGGTTGTCAGGAAACTCTGACGCTCTCAGGTCTGTGGCTTTCTGTAGGTTTTCATCCTGCAGCTGGAGGGAGAGAAGCACTGGCGCCTGTACCCACCCACAGTGACCATGGCACGAGAGTACAGCGTGGAACCCGAAGCCCGGATTGGTGCACCAACACATGACTTTGTATTGAAGGTACAGGATGACCGTGTGCTCCTCTCCTGACCTGATCTCTGACCCAATGACAAGGTCAGACAGGAGTTTCCAGTTAGTGAAAAGGTCCCTGTGGGAATGTATCCCTGAAATTCCAAAGAAGGGTAGCTGTCAGTGTAGCCAGCCAGAGGCAGGTGACTTCTGAAGGAGTCTTGAAGTAAGCTCAGGCCATCTTTCATTCATCTTCCAAAGTAACCTGTCTCTATATGATCTGCTTCAACAGAAATAAATTGAGTTCAGTGAACTCAGCAGCTTCTCTAGAGTAAAAGTGGAAGGTTTGGCCTTGGGCAGTTTCTCCACATCTAGGTCAGCAGTCAGCATGTAAGCAGAGCACAGCCAAGAATCCACCCCCCCATCTCTCTGTCTTTTGGTCAAAAATTCCAGTATCACTTGTTTTTTTCTCATCATGCAGCAGACTATCTCTACAGTCTCCTCCCTTCGCCAGCATAGAGTTGCCAGATGAATGGCAGCTAGGAAAGCACTCATAGATCCCTTCTCCAGGGGAGCCAAGTGGCTTAAACATGTGTTGCTTCCTGGCATCTTGCTGTTGAGAAAATTGCCTCTGAGCAGAGAGCTTGGATGGGAAAATAGCTCGGCTCCAGCAGGAGAGGCTCTTGAGAAAAAGACCTTAGAGAAATGGAATAGCTTCATAAATAAACTTTATACCTTTTCTTAGAAAATACATTTACTTTTCTTTAGTGGCAATAAAGTAATGATTAATTCAAACCATTTCAAAGACTCTTAGACTAGACTCTGTTGCATTGGAACTATTTGTGTGTAGTTTAGCATATTTGTCCTTTTTGCAGCCTTCTTGCATCTTGAGGGATAACATGTCTAATTCTCCTCAGGGCCTTGTATCTCTTTCTTGGTTTTAAGATCTGTGTGCCAATAACTAGGAGGGTACAGTTTCCCTTTTTAGGATGGGTGCCAGTATTATAGAGAAAGTGAATAAATAACAGTGATTTTTATCTGTTCTTGATTAGCAGTCATCAAACTCCAGCCAACTGGCCAAAATTCTGGCCTGCTAAATAGTTTATTGTAACACAGTCACACCTGGGGATTGAGAAATATTATTTTGATGCCTCCTTTATAATAAATTCCTTGGATGAGATTTCTATATGTCTCTAAGTCTGTTTTAGTGTAGTGATTGTTAAAATAACACAGGATGATAATAGCTCTGGAGGTCAGAAATCCCAAGTTGGCCCCACAGGTATTGGCAGAACTGTATTACTACGGGGAGAATCTGTTTCCTTCTCTTTTCTAAAGGGGGTTCTGGAGGGGGCATTGTTCAAATGTTTGTGAAATAAAGTGTATATGATGTATGTGAGGGCTTTACTCGGGCTGGCACAGAAAAAATAAATGATAGATTTAATTGCAAGAAAAGTTTTTTTACTTGAAGTACTGCCATTTTGGTGTTATTCAGAGCAAACCAGCATCTAAGAAAGCTCTTTTTTAAAAAACTATTTATTATTCATATATACACATAATGTATGTGAATCAGATCCCCCCATTCTTTACCCTATAAATTTTCTCCTATCTCCCCTGCCACTCCCCTCCCCAAATTCATGTGACTGATTGCTGGTGTTTTCTCCCTCCTCCTCCCTTTCTTTTAGTCTCTTTCTCTCCCTTGTTTTTCTTTCTTTTAATACCACTGAGTTCATTTAGTGCTGCCTGTTTGTTCATGGGTGTGGTGGGACCATTTACTGGATCATGGGTAGCTTCTCAGGGCCCTCATCTGTGAAGAAGACTGACTCGTCCTCCCCCAACAGGCATCAATTATCAAGAGGGGCTCGTATTGGAGTGTGACTTCAGGAGCTCTTCCCCCATCCCGGCTGGGATTTTGACTGTCTTGATCTTGTGAAAGTCCTGTGCATGCCGTCCCAGCCAGCTGTGTGAGGTTACATGTGCAGCTGTGCTTTCATGTTCAACAAACACTGTTTCACTACAGCCATCTACTACCTCTGGCTCTTAAAATCTTTCTGCCCACTTTTCTGTAATGTTCCCTAGGCCTTGTGGGTGTGATATAGAGCTCTCATGTGAAGCTGAGCAATCTACATTCTCTTACTCTCTGCACACTGGCCCACTGTAGGTCTCTGCCATTTACTGCAAAGAGATGCTTCTCTGATGAGGATTGTAGAGAGGTATACTAATCTAAGGGTATGAAGAGAAGAACTTAGAGAACAATTTATTAATACGTCCATTTGGCAGGATAACAGTAAAAAGTTCTTCTCTAGGCATATGTTATGTTTTCTGTGTCCCCACATTCTCTATGACTTTTATCATGAAGGGATGATTTTTTTTAATTGTAGGCCTTTTCTACATCAAATGAGATATAGTTCTGTCTTTGAGACTATTTATAATTACATTTATTGATTTCTGTATGTTGAAGTATCCCTGTATTTCTAGAATGAAGGCAACTTGATGGTAGATGAGCTTTTTGATCTCTTCTTGAATTTGGTTTGCAAGTATTTTATTGATAATTTTTCTGTTTGTGGAATGTTCTGTAGATACTGTCTAGTAGCTCCGTTTGATTTATGATGTCATTTAACTCCTGTGTTTCTCTGTTTAGTTTTTGTTCATATGACCTGTCTGTTGGTACAAGTGGATATTGAAGTCACCCACTATAACTGTATTGGGGTTAGTCTGTGGTTTTTTATCTAATAGGATTTCTTCTATGAAATTGAGTATACTATTTAGGATTGTAATATTGTAATACCCTCTTAGTGGGTCTTTTAATGAGTATGACGTGACCCTCCTTATCTCTTCTGACTACTTTTGGTTTGAAGTCTATTTTATCTGATACTAGAATAGCTAGACCTGCTTGTTTCTTAGTTCCATTTGCTTCGAATACCTTTCTATCCTTTTACCCTAAGGTAATATCTATCCTTGATAGTGAAGTGTGTTTCTTGGAAGCATCAAAAAGATAGATCCTGTATTCTAATACAATCTGCTAGCCTTATTTGGAGTCAAGATTACTAATACTAAGAGTTGTTATTGAAAGATGTGTGTTATTTCTTGTCATCTTGTTGTTTTTATAGTGTTTCCTTAGACCTCTTGTGGTTAAATGTTGTGAAATTGCTTATTTATTTCCTATAACCTCTTGAGTATGTTTATCCTTGTCTTCAGAAGGAAGTATTCCTTCCAGGATCTGTAGAGCTGGTTATAATTTCTGTAGTGGCTATAATTTCTTTTTTCTTTGAATCATGGAATAGATAATTTTGCTGGGTATGATAGTCTGGGTTGACATTTGTGTTCTTTCAGAACTTAGAATATATCTTTCCTGAACCTTTTGGCTTTAAATATTTCTGTCAAATAATCAAGTGTTATTCTGATGGACTGCCAAGTGACTTGACCTATCTCTCGTGCAACTTTTAATACCACTTCTTTATTCTATATTTTTTAATGTTTTAGCTACAACATTTCATGGGGAGTTTCTTTTCTGGTCATATCTATTTGGTGTTCTGCAGGCCTCTTGCATTTGGATAGGCATCTCTTTGTTTAGATTTGGAAAATTTTCTTCTGTGGTTTTACTGAAACTATTCTCTATACCTTTGCTGTGGTATTCTCCTTCTGTGTCCATAATCTGAAGGCTAGGTCTTTTGATCGTGTCCCAGAGCTCTCCCATATTCTGTTCATATTTCTTTTTAAATTTATTATTGCTCTCTACTGAGTGATCCAGTTCCTCCATCTTGTCTTCCAGCCCTGATTCACAGTTTCCTACATGATCCATTCTCTTGGTGAGATTTTTCCACTGATGTCTTTATTTTTCTTACTGAGTTTTTCATTACTGGCATCAGTTTGGACTTTCTTCAATTCTATATCTATTTTCATATCTTAGATTGACTTCCTCATTCCATTCATCTTTTTTGTTGTTTATCTTGGAGTATATTCGTGTCTTCTTTGAATTGTTTGAACATACTTAGAATCATTCTTTTGAATTCTTTGGCATTTCTTCCAAATCATTTTCATTTGATGCCATTATTATGGAATAGTGATTTGTGGAGCAGACATGCTGTTTTGAATTTTCCTGGTGCTTCTGTTTCTGCTCTGGGACTTGCACATCTGGAGTTAGTTCATTGATTCTTTTTTTCTTTTGTATTTTTTTATTTTTGAAATTCAGGTCCCCTTTTTTCTTTCAATGGCGGCGTTTGCAGTGTTCAGTGGAGGACTAAGTGCTAGTAGGGTTGATGTCCTTTCCTTCTGTGGGGCTGCTAGATAGGGCTGGAGAATCTGTCTTGAGTCTTCATCTGAGAGTCAGGTATGACAATACCTGTCAGCTCTGGCCTCCTACATGGGTCTGTGGCTTTCCCTGTGCATAGTGAAACTCTCCACAGACTTGTAGATGTAATCCAGTCAGATCTGGTCTCTACTCTGGACCCACAGCTTCTGCTGAAGCTTCTGGGAGATGTGGCCCTTTCAGCTGAACCCAGAGTCAAGTCTGGTCTTCACCCCTATATCTGTAGCTTCAGCTGCTGAGAGATGTGGAACTCCCTAAGTACCAGTAGGCGCCTGACCCCAGTTCAGGATTGGTCCACATTCTGAGTCCACGGCTTCTGCTGGAGCTGCTGGGAGATACCAAGAATATATTTAAATGCATATTTTTTCTTACTTTGAAGAAAATCTTTTTAGATTTCCCTTTAAGCTGATATACCTTGATCTCTGTCTCCAAGACTCCTTATTTTAAACAAATCTTAACTACTTCCTGTACTTGCAGAGAGAAAGTAAGCAGCTCTCAGAACTCCTTTTCCTAGAGAATTACTATAGAGAATGTTTTGGTCTGGGTGAGATTAGGGAAAAGATAACTCAGGGCATGAGTAATTTGAGCAGAATATTTCTGTCATTGGTTTGAGAGGGGGAAAAGGGATAGATTAGAGGTAGCTGTCCAAAAAATTACTATTCTTTAATTACATCTGGGTTTTGAGTTCAGATAGACAGTGCATAGTTTTTCTTTTTAGCTACATTTTTTGAGTATGTGTTATATGGTACATGCTTTGCTAGGAGTACAGGATAGGTGAAGTATAGATCCTGAAAACCACACCTCCATTGTCTCAAAGCTTCAAAATATCATTTCCTTAAACGTCTGAATAATGCTGTAGGCTCAGGGGCTATTACCCCATTTTAATGACAGAGAAACCAAGGCTAGAGGCAGGTAAGCAAGTTGCATTGGTCATAAGTGGCAGCATCCCTATGAGTGAAACTCCTAGCTTAACTGAGAGGAAAGGAACAGCCTCCCCAGGAACAGGGTGTCACCTTCCTGGACCTTAGAATCCTGTGGAGTGGTTTCAGGTATATCTGGTGTCACCTTGGGAATAAAGCCAGTGGCAAGCTCACAGATACTACCTGAGCCCAGCATACAGTTTTTCCTTGAAATGGTGATTTCTAGAATGGAGAACTGAAACCAAAACCTGCTTTCTTAAAGGGGACTGTGAGATGTACCTCTTAATTCTTCTCTTCTTTTCCTTTAGACAGGTGATTTGTTATACTTCCCCAGAGGGACCATTCATCAGGCGGATACGCCTTCAGGACTGGCCCACTCTACTCACGTGACCATTAGTACCTACCAGAACAAGTAAGACCTTTGCTTCCTAGTCTAGCATCTTAGGAAAACAGTTATGGCCCAAAGCAGCACATTTGAGGGACCTGAGGGAGCTGTTCAGAAGCTCTGTCAGTGCCTCCCTTGCTAACTTGTATGTTCCTTTGATGTGTGATTGGCTGGCTAGACCTCCTGCTGTGAACGTCATTTATCTCACTCTATATAAAGAGCCCAGATAGAGGATAAGAAGGTCCTGTAGTTTAGCAAGGAAAAGCAAAACAACACAAAACCATGTAACTCTGGGTATATCACAGTAGATTTGCAAAGAGATCCTTGGAGCTTAGACATATATGCTCAGCTGGGTATCAGGGAAGGGTTCAGAAATTACTTGGCATGTGAGCTGAGTGAGTCTTAAAGGAGGATTAAGTAGGGCTGGGTCAGCAGGTCATGGCAGGAGAAGGCATCCAGGGCCTAGGGCATAGCAGGTTCCTCCTCTACTTAAAGTAATAACTTGCAAAACAGGTTAGTAGGCATACCTCTGCTTCCTCACCTGGCAAGTTCAGGAGACTTACTGGGGGAAGTAACAGCAGTCTGGCCTGAGGTTAGTGCTGTTTTGCCCACAGCTAGAAGACCTCAGCTTGTATCAGGCTTCCCATTTGGAAAACACCTTGTCATTCTGACTAGTTAAGAGTGAGGAACAGAAAGTCTCTGGGGCCAGTCGAGAAGAGTGGGGGCTGGGGACATGGCCCAGTAGATAATGTAGATAAGAGTACTTGCTATGCAAGCTTGAGGAGCTGAGTTCAGATCTCAGCATCCATGTTTCAAAACTATTGGCAACTGAAGACTGCTGGGAAGGGGAGATTTAGTTTCATCTAAGGACGAGACTCTTGGGTAAATTGACCAGGCTCCGTGGATGAACTCACACCAAAGGGCATTTGGGTACACAAACCTAACTCTATAGGCCATTTATTTATATGTGTGTATGTATTTGTATGTATGCATATATGTAAAATTTATTATATATGTATTTATATATATAAAGTTGGTTTCTGCTATATAAGAATACAGAAATATGGAGGTGGTTAGAAAGGGCATGTAGATGTGGGAAGGGATCTAAATATGATCAAAATAGATTGTATTAAAGCTGTCCTAGTTTGTTTCTCCATTGCTGTGACAAAATACTCTGACTAATACCAACTTGGGGGAGGAAAGGGTTTATTTATCTTACATCTCCTGGGTCACAGTTCATCAGGGAGCCCAAGGTAGGAACTCAGGGCAGGAACCCGGAGGCAGGAGCTGGAGCACAGGCCATGGAGTAATGCTACTTACAGGCATGCTCCCTCGGCTCCTGCTCAGCCTGCTTTCTTATGCAACACAGGCCCACCTGCCCAGGGGTGACACCACCCACAGTGGGCTGGGCCCTCCCACATCACTCATCAAAAAGATGCCCTTCAGACATGGCCATAGGCCAGTCCAATAGAGGCAATTCCCCTATTGAGGCTCCCTCAACCCAGGTGTGTCAAGTTGACACTAAAGCTATCCAGCACAAAGCATATGAAATTTGTAAAAATTCATCAGCACCTACTTTATAAAATTACTTTATAATTCTGCCATATGATCAATATTAATATGATACGCTGGTAACCAAAGTTCATGTTTAGTGGTCAGCAATGAAGTACGTTAAATATCCTTTCCTAAGTTACAGGTTGCTGACCTATAAATGGGCACTGGGGGTGATGCATCTAGTCTGAACTTTAATCTGCATAGGTAATGCTGAGTTAGAATGCAGGAATGTAACCTGAGAGCTGTTCCCCAGAGGTGTTCCTGTGCTCTGAACCTTGGCTCCTGCAGTGATAGAGAGGAGATGTAGGGCCTCTTTTTAGTACCTCTCTAGGAGAGACATCACTGTAACGTCCAGGGCCTTCTGTGTGGACTCCAGCAGGTTGAATTAATTATAACCAAAGAGACCCGCTCAGAGGTAGGTGGTGTTTGTTATTCCTGATTTTGGGAGTCTCAAGTTCAGTTATTCTAACCCTAAGAACACTGTTTAACTGCATACAATTCCTCTATGACTTGTTGCCATATGATTTCCACCTAAAATACTACAAAGGGAGCATTTTTCTGCAGTCCAGAAATCTTGTATCCTCCAGGTGGGTGTTCAACAAAAGAGTGAAAGTGGGTTTGACACTAAGTCACACATCAATGAGACCACTAGGTAGTGGGTGCTCTGGGGAAAGTGTGTCTCAAGTGGCTTTGTTGTCCCCTGCCACTCTTCCAGGAGGGAAGCATCAAAGTTAATCTTCCTTACTGAGTGAGAAGTAGAGGTCATACTGTGAATTTCTGTTTTGCACATAGCCTTCAATTTGAAATCTGCTTGTGACACAGGAAAAATTTAAATAAGCTAAGAACTGTTTAAAGAAAACAACCCCACAGAGTGTTTTTCTTACTTAAACTGGAACCTGGTTAGGCATGAGCCTATTCTAACCACTCCAGAGAAAGAAAGTTAATTGGACTCTGATACTTACCTCTAGATGTTATTTTGGCCATTAGCTTGCCTACTACCCCAGTAAAACCATTGCTAGAAATCAGTTTTGTTTCAAATGGTTGATGCTGAGTCTGTAGAGATGGCTGAACAGTGGTCCTGGGTTTTGTACCCAGCACCTACATGGTGGCTAACAACCATCTGTAACTCTAGTTCCAGGGGATCTGATGCCACTTCTGACTTCTGTGGGCATTGCATGACACAGGTGCACTTACACACATGCAGGCAATACACTCATACACATCAAAAAATTTTAAGTAGTAGATTGGTGGATATTTTACCGAGGAACAACTTCCTTCTCATTCAGCAAAACGTGGCATATCACTATTTCTGTTGGATTTAATGAATTTAGATTTTTTTTTTTTTGTATGACTTTTAAGGAATAGTAAAATTTTCCACCAAGCTGTCCTTAGAGAAGCTTGTGTTTAGTTTGGTTCCTTGAAGTTCCCACTTTGATAGTATCTATCTAATTTTCTGGTATCTGTAAGAGGAATTAAGCATACATCTTTCCACCTGTCTTAGTGCCTTTGAATGGGCAGGCAGGAGCCCAGTTTGCAGCTTTCGGCTTTACTAGCAATAGGTATTTGCACATTATTTATGTATTAAATGCTTTTGGTTGTTTTCTTTTTCTTGGTTTGTGTTCTAGTTCATGGGGAGATTTCCTTTTGGATTCCATTTCGGGGCTTGTATTTGACACTGCAAAGGAAGATGTGGAGTTAAGGACTGGAATTCCCCCACAGCTACTCATGGTAAGAACAGAGGTGGAGCAGCTGGAGGCCAGACCAGGCCAGTTGAAGCCTTGGATCCTGGGGACTCTAGGGTCTTTTGTCCCAGATGCACCAAATAGCCTGCTGTGCTACCCTACTGAGCTTCAGGATTTGTAGAACCAATCCAGTGTGGCCTCATGTGGGGCCATTCATATGGGTCCATCCATGGGTGTTAGACAAATGGCTCTTTGTATATTTTTACAGCAGTAGCAAGAAATTGGCAGAATAAATAGTTGAATAAATAAACGTGGCCAGAATTGCATATTCAGCAGACATCAGATTTCTTGGTAGAGGAGAGGCACATCTGTGCTCCTTGGCTTTCCTGACATTTGCTTTTTGAAACAGGAATACTATTTGGTTAGTTTTGAGAAGGTAAGTGAATTGGGGCTGAGTAGAACAAAGATTGCTTTCATTATCTAAAGTTGTCACCTTAGATAGACTTGCTCAGCAAAGACAGAGCCTACATTGTACTATATTTCCAAGGATCTCTCTTCCGGAAAAAAAAAAAAAAAAATTTTTTTTTTCTTTGATCAAATGAAGAACAGCATCAGAAGAGCATTAGTTATAAGGAATGGGCTTCCTTCTCTTAAGGTCCTGGCTATCCCTCCCCACCACAGAATGGCACACCATACTATGGTAGAGACAGATATGTGGCAGCCAGTTCTGTCAGCATCTAGTCAGGGCTCACTTCTGTGCTTCTAGCAGGTGGAAACCCCAGCTGTTACAACAAGAAAATTGAGTGGCTTTCTGAGGACTCTTGCAGACCGGCTGGAGGGCACCAAAGAACTGCTGTCATCAGACATGAAGAAGGATTTTGTCATGCACAGACTGCCCCCTTATTATGTGGGAGATGGAACAGAGCTGTTGGCACCAGGTGGAGTTTCCTGTTTCCTTCTAGGTGCCCCTGGATAGTGGGGGATGTTTGACACTTTACCAGTCTCCAGTTTGAGCAGATGAAATGTAGGAAACATTTTAGTGTTCATGTGGACAGAAGTCTTTCCTTAGTGTACATGGTTGGACAGATATGCTGTGCTCATCTTCCAGGACCTCCCAAGTAATTTGCAAAGAACTCGTATCCCAGTATGACAGGAAATAAGAACACTGTTTTTGGTTGAGGAATATATTTATAAGAACTTTTATTAATAATCTTCAGAAAGTTTTGAGAGCTTGAATATTGAAATAATCTTGTTAGAATTTCGGCAAGCATGGTAAAATGCTGTCCTCACCAGATGAAATATAAGAATGGTCAAGGGCAACATGCACCACCAAGTTGTAGATGACTAATATATGAATAAGGTCTGGATTTTAGGTGATGTAATACATTTCCAGATAGGTGCTATCCATGTCCGTTAACAAAGGCTACCAAGAACTCATTCCTGAATTCAAAGCTGTTTATTGACCTGTTGTAATGGGGAGCACACACATGAGAACTGGGGAATAGCTTGGTAAAAGGGCACTAGAAATGGTATAGGCTTATGCTGGAACATTTTGGAGTTTGGAGAGGACTTAAGGAAGCAGAGCATTGCTGTGGATTGGTACTGCCAGGAAGTAGGAGTATCTTTTCTAAATATTAAGTAGTGAGTGGGAGGAATGTATGAGGCTCAAGTCACCTCAGTAAGCAGCAGCAGGTGCTGCCAGGGTAGGGAAATGTTTGGTCACTGGGAGTTTGAAGAGTGTTCTTGTTTATGCCAGAATTAAGACTGAGACATGAGTGGTGACATTTTTCTAAGGAGTCTTATCAATATCATAAAAGGTTCACCCATCTTCAGGTGACAGCCACTAAAATAGACCATCCATGGAGTCCCAACTAACACTGATTCTGTATACATTTTTATTTTAAAGTCTTTGAAGGAATTTTAGGATTTATTTTTTATTGCATCTCTTCAAAGTGGCATATTTTACCAGTAATGCATTAATCTTTAGGAGAATAGAATTTACTAAATTTCTGCATGTGTTCCAGAATGCTTTATCTAATGGTTATCCATTTTGGCTATTGTATTCAATAAAGTTATGATCCCTTAAGATCCTTTTCCACCCAGATGACCTTCTAAAGCTAGCTTGTTTCTAGTGGTTGCTTTTTCATTTTGTTAAACCCAGTTTAGAAAGAGTTGACTATTATTATCTTCTATGGCTTTTATAGGACACTCTGCTTGTCTTGCATAAACTGAATAATGTGCCAGGTCATACAAGTAGCCATTGGGGGATGGTCCAGTTTGAATTCAGTCCCTCCAGAGTCCACATGTAGTATAAGAAGGAGAGCTGGGTGTTCTATGAAGAAAGCAACTTAGTTCTATTCATTGTGCTTTGATGGTATTATTTATCCCTATTTAAAGTACTTTTTGTGTGGTACTGAGAATTGAACCGAGGGCCCTATGCATGCTAAGCAAGCAATCCACCACTGAGCCACACACCCAGGTCTCTAATGTACTTAACTCGATTGTTATTTACCTAATTGAATGTCTGGTCACTATGAGAATGAGATCCATGGGGATGCAAGCTAGACTTTCAGTTCTCACTATAGATGTTGAGGTGAGTGCTTAGAAGAGTGCTTACAAGGAAGTTTGAATCTGTTGGGTTTCCTTTTTTGATGGCTGGCTTTCTATTTGGGGTTTTTCTAGGTGGAAAGTTACCAAGGTTGGACAGCACAGTGCGACTGCAGTTTAAAGACCACATTGTCCTCACAGTAGGGCCAGATCAGGATCAGTCTGTGAGTATCCAGAGGGAAGAGTTATTCCATTCATCTTATTCCATCTTGAGTTCCAGGCTATCTGAAGAATCCTTGGTCCTGCCTTTCTTACTTGGAAATCTAGCTTCATTCAGTTTAATCCCATTCCTCCAGTCACTTAATGCCCAAATCTCAGTTCCCATTCCAAATTGCCCTGCCTTTTAGGTGTTTGATGACTTGCCCTCATTCCCAGAGTCCTCTTTCTTCTCTTTATGTTATTATATGTCTGGTCTTTACTTTCTTATCTACTGCAGGCCACAATGCTCTTGCTTGGACAACTGAAAACCTTGTTTGAGTTCCCCTGCATCCACCTCTCTGATTCTGTGTACTACACAGATTTGATTTAAATTCTATCATGTTGATCATAGGAAACAAGATCTACATTCTTTAATCCTTACCTGGTGGTCCTGCAAACTGGCTGATAGAAAAGCTTTCAAAATTATGAATTTCTTAGTTTTATCTGGTTTAAAATGGATCTTCTGTATTTCTGACTTTTTAAAGTTTCCAGTTACTAGGAACCTTGAGAGAGCTATCCCATACCTCGTAGTTTACCAGCTTCTTCCTAATCAGCTCTCATGGGAAGTATTCTATGAAGGATTAAGGGGATTTAAAAGGGCCAGGCCTAAAGAATAGACATAAATAAAACCGCAAAAGTACACACTCTTACTCTGTTTAAAGAAACCTCCCTAATGATTCTGATAGCCAGTCAGGACTTTGTATGTTAGCCTAAGGCTTTTAACTAAGCATAGCTAAGGAATGATAAAGGTTGTGGAAGAAATAAGTTGTCCATGTAGGATGGGGACTGATGGGAGTACAGATCATTTGAAAGACTACTGCATTTTAAAATGATTTTTAAAAAATGACATGGAACTGGCTGCTCTTGCAGAGGACCTGGGTTCAGTTCCCAGCATTAAGAAACAATATCTGTGGGTATGAGGAGTTTCAAATTCTGCTTGAAAGATGACTAGAGCCTGAGATTGAAGAAAACAAAACCCAGTGTGTACATGGGAAGACCAATGGCAGCTCATAACTGTAACTCTGGTTCTAGGGTGCCCGACGCCCTCTTCTGCTCCTTGGGCCCTGTACAACACAGGTACACTTGCACACATGCAGATGATATACTCATACACATAAATAAAATGCTAAAAAAAAGAGTCAATCCCTTCATAAATTATTAATTTGTACCTAAGAATGTCAAATTTTGGTACCAAAAAGTATGCAGACAATTCAAAAAAGAAATTTTCACTGATGTGTTGGTATATAAATCAAGTTCTTCAGTACTAGCTACTCTTAAAACAGTGATTCTAAGTGTCCACTAACTGCTACAGACAGGTAAGACTCTGGGATGAATAATGAAGTAGCAACCCTTGTGTCTGTTCCTAACTTTGTGCCCAAAGGATTCTCTATAGTAGTGAATAAATTACACTTGAGCACCAAGGTTTTATTGTTTTCCTTGGTGTTGATCTATAGAAAACCCTCCTAACACTGAAGTCCTCAGTGTTTTGTTGTTGATGACCTAACATTTTTTTTTTAAAGGATGAAGCTCAACAAAAGATGGTTTACGTCTATCATTCTCTAAAGAACAGGAGAGAAACACACATGATGGGAAAAGAGGAAGAAACAGAGGTGTGTTCCAAAGGAATATTAGTGTCTTTCCTGTGATTTGAGTTGTGGTTGGGAAGAATTACTTGTGATTGTCAAGTCATGTACATTTATGATTGCACTGTGGACTGATAGGGCACCTCAATGGGGATAATTAAGTCAGTCAATTCTGTGATGCAAATATACTAGCTTTAAAGCATAATAGCTGTGACCTTAGAGGAAAGGGGTAATGAATGCCAAGTGTTCTGAATGACTGATGTCTCTTACTAAAGTAGAAGGTTGTTCATGAAGTCTGAGCCTCTCATATGGGAATTGATAACTTTTAAGGTATCTAATTACAGTTTAAGTAAATAGCTTTTCTGAAACAAGTTTCATACTTTTGAAGGCTCTTACAAAAAAAGATATATTGAGAATTGTGTGACTTCATTAAAAAAAAAAAATACCTGAAGTGGCTTTTTTGAACTAAATAATTTATCACTTTTCAGACTCATGGACTTCGCTTTCCTTTATCACATGTGGCTGCACTGAAGCAGATTTGGAACAGTTCAGCTGTTTCTGTCAAGAACCTGAAACTTGCTACAGATGAGGAAAAGGAGAGCCTCGTATTATCCCTCTGGACAGAATGTTTAATCCAAGTAGTCTAGTACCTTTACACAAAGAACTGCTGTTTTCTATACACAGAGAAGGGAAGAAATCTTCACCAAAGGAAGACTGGTTTCCTCGTGGACTCCCAGTGTTCAGAGCCAACACTGGTGGGAGGAATGGTTCACGAAGAGCAGAGAAGCTGGCGCTTTTCCTCTCAGGACGAATGGACACAAGAAGGAAGAACAGTAAATTTCTAGGTGTCCCAGACAGTGATAAAACCATACTTCTGACAAGTTTATTTAATCCAGTGTGGTAGAAAAGGCACAACTCCAATACATGTATCATGTAGAATTAAATGTTATTAACTTGGCATTGTCTTAGTTCTTTGGAAGAAACAACTTGTTTAAAGAGCTCCTTAGCTCTAAAAATATTTTTTAACAATTAAAAATTATGAAGAAAGTTTTTTTACAGTGAAAATATACATATCTTTGAGTATACATACCCTCTCCCCATTAAAATAAAGTTATGCCTGTAACATAAGTTTCATTAAATAATACTGCCACACCTGTAAGAAGCACTCAACATCTGTGGGTATGAGGAGTTTCAAATGCTGCTTAAAAGATGACAAGAGCCTGAGATTGAAGAAAAGAAAACCCAATATATGTACATGGGAAGACCAAGTCTCAGAGTAGGCAGGTCTTTCAGTCTAAACTATTTACTGTTATTTTACATTCTAAAGTGCATAGACGTTGATAGTTTTTAAAATATCACGTGAATTTTTGTAAAAATAGAGCATTTTTTTTCCTGGCAAAAGTTGGGCATGAAAGTAACACCTGTGTCAATTAAGTTTAAATCCATCCCTGGAGGACTGTGCTTCTGAATTGTGCCAGTGGAGGTGGTGATGATCCCAAACCTAATTGTGCTGAACTGTAATCTGTTTAAAATGGGAGTGAAAACTGAGTTGCCGGTCACTGAGTAGAGGAAGTCATAGCACAAAGCTCAAAACACAGCTTTGCTTTCATTTGAACACATGAAATGCCCTTCTACTCCAGGCAGACTAACATTTGACTGTTCTTAATGTGCAAATGACTTAGTCTTTAAAGACACTTTTATTAAGGACAAATCAGGCAAAATGTAAGGCACCTGGTCTCAGGACCAGGCCAGATGACCACTGTTAAAGAGTCTGTCAACCTTGATTAATACCTGAGTGCGAGGCAGGCACTCTAAGGTGTTATACATTTTTAGTTGAAAAACAGTAAAAAATGGCCACACCACAGGAAATACTTTAGTACTAGTGCCTTTTGCCTCATGAAGCTGATGTCCCTCCCTGGGGTTAAAGAATATAAATATGAGGTGTTTCAGTTACAAAAGCTACAGAAACCTTATGGTTTATTTAATACAGCATCAGCTTAGTAAGGAAACTTACTAAATATGTTTTCAGGTGGTGCTAAAAAATCAGTCCTTCTGTAAGTATATGATAACCTGCAGGAGTTTGTTTCCCTTTGCTTCACACAAGCATCTTAGGATATTAATGACTAATACAGGTACATTACCAGTATCCTGTAGGATTTGTGTTTGGTGGTTAGGAATATACAGACTCCAGGAAGTGGGTTCCCACAACTGGGATGAATAAAACCTTTCCTAGAAATCATTAGCATTTTCTTTACAGGGACCCTGGATAACTGTTTAGAATGTTTTTAGCTTTTCTGTGGGGTGATAACAAGGTGGTGGACATTCCTTTGCTCTTCCTGGAGATGGTGTGGATTCTCTCACAAGATTTCAATGTCCCATTTCTGTGTTTCTTCTCCCTCCAGGGGCTGATTTATAATGACATGAGTCTTGTCACAATAGTTTCCTCCTAAAATAATCACAAAAAGAAAAGATTTGTTCACACAGGTGCCTATCAATTGCATAATTTCTACAACCTTTTGTTCAGCCCACTTTTTAAGTAGATTAGTGTTATTTACAAAACTGTTTGAAATGGGAAACTGAGTGTGAACAGGTGTAGCCACTGTTCACTCAAATTGGACCTTATTATGACTCAAACTGAAAAATGAAGAAGTATAATGCGTGATTGTGGATGCACAGTGTCCAGACAATGCCCTGCTTGAGCACAGTGCCAGAGTAAACTCTGGCTGAGCGTCAGGCACTCTGTTTTTGTTTCTACATTAACAGTGGCTGTGACTAACCAACCCAATTAAAGCAAAAGCCATAAATAATATTGGCCCTGACCTTGCTGAATTAAAAAACAAGGTTAATTGATACCTGCCATAAATCGTATCTGAGAGCTTTTAAGGATCATGGCAATTCAGAGCAAATACCTACAGGTGTTTCTCAGAACCAGATGGCATTCTTCATTTTATGAATTATGATGTTTCAAATTTAGAACTGTATTCATGAAAACTAAGGTTGCAAATGAAAGTTTTACAACAGTTCTAATAAAAAGTTCCTTCGACTTTATTGTTGGTTTTCTTTTGGCTGCATAATCCATATACCTAATTTTCTTCCTAAAAAAGTTCACTACTTTTTTTTTCCAAACAGAATTATAAATAACTTGACATTTCTCTTAAAAGGCCATCTTTTACCTGGAAGGAGTAGGTTTAGTACTGACATTAAGGGCTATAAAATGCTGGGTATTATCAACAGCCTACATTTTTTTAAAAATTATATTTTTACTTTTTTATATGTATGAATGTTTTCCTGCATGTATGTAAGTGGGAGGCCAGAAGAGGGTGTCAGAGCCCTGGAATTGGAGCTACAGTTGTTAGTTGCCATCTGGGTGCTGGGACTTGAACCTGGGTCCTCTGGAAGAGCCACCAGTGCTCTTAACCGCTAAACCATCTCTCCACTCCCTCAGCAGCCTACCTTTAACATCAAGGACAAGTTCATCACTGAGATAAGAGCTGATGGTTCCATTTTTGTTCAGTCTCCACTTCTGCCTGAATTGCCCATGTTCAGTCCACAGGGCCACCTTGGCTCCAGGTGTGTCCCGGCCACCAATCACATCAAGACATGTATCACTGGCCTGTAAGGGTTGAAAAAACAAATTGGCTGTACTGAATTTTCAAGATAAATAAAACAGGGTCCCTTTTTCAAGTAAATATGTCATGGACAATCAGTGGCTATGTCTTAACTAAAAAGAATATAGGATAATTTCATGATGTCTTTTAAAATCTCTGGCTGATGGGGAGGAAAGGGTAGGTGACTGAAATAGAGATATTGTACTTAGTTTTTGATCTTGTTTTTAAGGATTTGCATCTGACAACAAATGTTCAGTAACAGTTTGTTGAATTGGAATTGAATGTTAAGTCCCTGTTAGCTTAAATGTACTGTGGTAAGCTTAGTTTTCTATTAAAACAACAACAAAACACCACTGGGTAATTAATATACTAAAGATATTCAGAAAGTAATTACTTTTAAATGCTTTTCATTTTTGAAGACTGAGAAATAGCTAAGTCATTGATGATGAAATAAAACATAGTCAATGTTTTTAATGTTCTGTCCTCCAGAGCATCAAACAATGGAGGGAGAAACCATATCTTCTTTTAAGCATCTTTCAATGACAATTTCTATTAGTACAACATCACTATGTATTTTGATTTTATCTGGGCCAACAAGTAAGGAACTTACTCCAGTGAAATCATTTAGGAGTGTTATAACCTTAGCTCTTACTTTAAAAATTGAAACTGGATTTTCCAGAATGAAAAATTCTGATTATTTTACTTAATGCCAGTTGCTTTGGCAGCACTGTAGCTTACAAACACAAGCCAACATCAGAATGCAAGCTCTTTTACCTTGGATTTAAAGAGTCCTCGGCAGTAGTGCCAGATCTGAGTGTCCTTCCCACTGTAGGGAGATACGCACACAGACATTGCCCGTGTGTCAGCAAGGTTGCCGGTGACTGTCAGATACTCATCCTGGGCTCGGTTCTTTATTCTGAGTTCCAGGCCAGCTAGAGTTACAAAAAAAAAAAAAAAAAAAAAAAAAAAAAAAAAACTTTCCTGAGAGGAAATGTAATCCTACCAAGGCAGGAAAGCTCGAAGGGACTAACAGAAATTCATTCATTCACTTCCTTTGGCTGGTATGTATATGTTTTCTGTTGATAAATCCATAAGAGTACTGAGGACAAAGCTTAAGTTGTGCAATGTCTATTATACTTTCTGAAAAGTGTCCCTCAAAATGGATAAAGGTAATTCACTAGAACTCAAGTGTGGCAAGGTTGGGGCAGTGAAGAATTAGGGGCTTGATTCTATTACATCCCATATATGCATCTGACAGTCTGGGGGTTAGGGCCAGGTACTGCCCAACATGAATCTTACAGAGGAAAGGCAAGTATGGTAATCAGATATACTGTCTTGACCTATGATTAAATGGTAAATGACTGCTATGGAAGGTTCTGAAAAACCTAGACAGCCAGGGCCTTTTTTTTCCCAAGGAAGAGATAATCACTACTTACCTCTGTATTCAAAGTCAGACTTCATTCTTTTCCCTGGGCAATACCCCTACCCCCAACACACACACACACAAACACACAGAAGAGAAAGGTTTTCAAAAGAAAACACTAAAGGGGTTGAGGATTTAGCTCAGTGGTAGAGCACTTGCCTAGCAAGCGCAAGGCCCTGGGTTAAGTCCTCAGCACCAGAAAAGAAAAAACACTAAATCTGAGACCCCAAAGAATAGTTGGTAATATTATTGAGCCCTTAGATATCATCAAGCAGTGTGCTAAATGTTTTCTGTACTGCTATCAGAACCCTTTCAGAGAAAACAGTTGTGCGCCAAGTTTTACAAATAAGGTTAGCATAGATTTGGAGCCAGATCTTTGACAGGACTGCTCGAAGACCAAAAGCAGGATACACTAGTTACCCCTATGACAAAGGCAGTAAGATTAGTTCCAACAGTGTCAGTGTAACTAAAATAGTAAAAGGGCATGTGATAGAAGCTCAGTAGAAATTATCCTTTCAGCCCAAGATTCAGGACTCCAGTCCTAATGTAATAAAACACAAGACACTAATATCCCCTCTAGGTGAGTGCTGGCTTCTCAGAACCTTGGCTGGGTAATAAATGGTCTACTTAGATAGTACTTTGACTCTGGGAAACAGGTGCTGGCCAGAGCACTTCAGAAACATGGTGTTAATAGTAAGACCAATGAATATTATATTTTGAAACAGCAACATGAAGCTGGTTGAATTTTGGTAGACTGCTACCATGATTAGCATTTCTAAGGAAATAAGCACCGAAGTAGAAGTCATATTTGGTCATCTAAAGCCCTGGTGAACAGGACTTCTACTTGGCTGTCCTGATAGAAGAGAAGATATTTTAGAGACTTGGACTCCTGAAAGAATTAAAATTTCCCCAGGAATCCCATGTTGAGAGAAGGGAAAGGCTGAAGCCCTTGTGCCAGCAAGAAGAACTTGTTCCCAAAAAGAGATTTCATAGTTCTGACAACTTAACAGACCAGCTCACAGGACAGACTTGATCCTAGGCATCAGTGTGTGATGAGTGGAGCCACACATTGGCAAGGATGGCTGAATCATGCACGCCTTTAGCCTCTAAGCCTCAACCTCCTATCAGTGCCCCAGAGACAGACTTGGAGGGGAGGAGTGTCACTGAAAACCTTTATGTGTTTTTAGTAATATGGTCACATTGAATAAACCTTTCTTTGCCATGACTTGTCTCTTTAATCAGCATAATGAATTGAAGACAGGTTGTTGAGACTGGGACTACCAGGGCCCAGGCTTTTACTCTAAACACTCTGGGATAAATAATTACAAGTGATACAATGTACTTATGTATGGTTCAATGTTGTACTTAAGTATAGTTCAGTGCCCACAGTGACTAGTATTAATATTTGAAGGTTCTATGTATCTCTTAGAGTTTCATTATCTTGTACATGTAAAGGCACAGGTATGACCTTCACAGATGATAGAACTCCAATTACTTTAGGACTAAACATCCCAGTTTTAATCAATTAGATCACACAGGACAGGGTACTAAATACTCCTATTACCATTTGTAGTCTGAGTCCTCTGTAATTACACTTAAAATCATTGATATGCATTATAAGTACCTTAGTGACTTCCTAATTCCCAACCTCAAAAAGGATCAGATTTTAAGTATTCTTTAAACGAGGATTTAAACTAAAAGCAGTACCAACTCCCCATACCAAAAGTTAAATATAATCCAAAAACTACTGCTTTTGAAACTAGGAATTCTTTTACTGGGCTTTAGTGCTGCATAATGAAAACAAATATCTGGTAGTTCAAAAGTACAATACAAATTTTTTTTTCATATTTTTGTTGTGAAAAAATTGCTTGTGAAAGAAAGGTTATTGTTCAAGGTATTCTTATTTATTTTTATGTGTATCAGTGTTTTGCCTGCATAAAAGTGCACCACATGCATGCAGTGCCCTCAGAGGCTAGAAGAGGGCATTGAATCCTCTGGAACTGGCATTACAGGTGGTTATTAGCCACCACATGGGTGTTGGGAACTAAACCCTGGTCCTCTGAAAGAGCCATCTCTCTGGCCCCAGTCTAGGTACTCTTTATCTCAAGACCCAGAACAATTGAAATGGACCTCTTTACTCAGCAGAGAAACCCCACTGAAAAATGGAGAAAATGATTGGGTTCAGTGGTAGCAGGCCCTGGATTGGAACCTAGTATTAGAAAACAAAAACATAATAGTCTCAGTATCACACTTTACTACTACAGTTTTTGGAACATAGGATTCATATTATTAGGTAGGTTTTTTGTTTGTTTGTTTGTTTGTTTGTTTTTTAATTAGGTAGTATTTAAAAGCCAAACTTGTGGGCCTGGTATGGTGGTGCAAGACTTTAATCAGGAGGCAGGGGGCTCTCTGGGAGTTCAGAGGCCAGCCTGGTCTACATACTGTAGTTCCATGCCAGCCAGGACTACATTATGAGACTCTTTTTAAAAATTTTTTTTAACTTCTCTCAAAAAGACAAAATTTTTTAACTTTTTTTTAAATTGAGCTTTTAAAATTTTGTACAACATTTCCCACTCAAATCCAGACTCCCCTCCACAATCCATGCCTCTCCCTATTCCCCCCACTGAACCCTATGCACTCTGCCATATATGCTGAGTCCTATTCATTCAGGTGTTTATACCCAAGTATCCTTCAGTGTAAATGTATCCACTGGAGTCTAGTCAGCCCATCCAGTGGTTGTATGTAAGTCCTATTCTCCCTCACCCAGCAGCAATCAGTCTCAAATAGTTCTCAATCTAGTGCTGGTCCAGCACCTATTTCTCACCTCCCTTTTGTGCCCTTGGTTTCATTGAGCTGACATGGGTCCCACACTTGTGTTTAATTGAGCTGACACGGGTCCCGCACTCAACACCACTGTTGCCACAGGCTCATATGGGCAAGTCTCCAGTGGCCTGGAAGCCTCCACCTCCCTGTAATCATGAACCAGCCCTGACTCTTGCAATCTTTCCGCCTCCTCTTCCGCAATGGTCCTTGAGCCATGGGTGGTGAAGTTCCATATAGGAGTCCCATCCTACACTCTACAGTCTCTTATTCTCCAAAACTTGGCCAGATGTGGGCTTCTGTGTGCATCGCACTCTCATGTACAAGGGAGTGTCACTGGTCAGAGTTGGGGGGTGCATTAGCCCTCTATTTATCCCTTATTCCACTACATTCCATGGACTTTAGTTGTAGAGATTCAACTGCAGATGTGTCACCTAGTACTGGACATCTCCCAGATGTATGTTCTCCGTGCCTGACCAGATGAGCAACTCTGCAGTAGCCTCCATCCAGTAGCCTCCATAAAAAAAAAAAAAAAAGCTTCTTTGATGAGTGCTGTATGGCATGCTTGTCAATCTAAGGGAAGTCTCTTCTATCTGGCACTGTGTTCCCTGTCAAACAGCTCCCAGGTATAAATAGTTTTTAGTTTAAAAAAAATTTTATTTTATGTGTATGAGTGTTATGCCTGCATGTGTGCAAGTGCACCCATGCCCAACAGTGCCTGAGGGGAACACAAGAGGGCTTCGGATGCCCTGGAACTGGAGTTACAGGTGGTTGTTACCTGTCATTGGGTGCTGGGATTTGAACCCAGGTCTTCTGCAAGAATAGCCAGTGCTCTTAACTGTTGAGCCATCTCCCCAGCCCTGTCTTTTTTTTTTAAAATCCCAACTTGACTTCCCATATCTACCTTTTCTCTATGGCTTTAGGGTAGGGTTACCCATTTTTTCCCCAGATTGCGAGTGAGGAGCATTATGTACCATGCACTCTGTACCAGAAAGCCACTCATTTTTTGGTGTCCCTTAGCAGAGCACCTCCAGCTCTCTGATGAAATAATAATGTACTTTCAAAGTACATGTATTATCATAGTAATATGAGTCTTGATATGTTAGACCCTTTACATATGTTATTCAATATTCATAAGGATGATCACAATTTTATCAGTGAGGAATTTGAGGTGCCAAGAAATGAAGTGACTTACCAAGTCACATTGCTTACAAATAGAGCTAGGATCTGAACTGACAGAATCTAAGAGCAGTGGTAAGGGGGACAGCAAGAGAAGACCAATGCATTTAATGATTGAATAGTGTGTTAGGTTGACAAGTCAGAGCCTCAGATCTTGTATCCCCTGTGCTATACTGACTTACTGCTTGGATAATCCTTACCTTAAAAGATTACTGTCAGAATCAAGCAGTATTATAAAAAGAACAGAGAGGAGGGGCTGAAGAGATGGCTCAGTGGTTAAGAACACTGACTGCTTGTGCAGAGAACCTGGGCTCTATTCCCAGCACCCACATAGTGGCTAACAACCATTCTCAACTCCAGTTCCAGGGGATCTGACACCTTCTTTGACCTCCTTGGGCACTGCAAGACACCAGTGCACATACACACACGCAGGCAATACATTCATACACATAAAAATAATAAATTTTTTTTTAAAAAAAGAAGTTAAGGGCACCACATCCACTACCTAGCACACCCTAGCCTTGGTTTCTCAACCTCCTGTGAAACTTTTCCTCAGGCCTACTTATGACATTTCCCTTTACTGCACCACACACTGCCTGATGATCATGCACTGTTTGCATTTTGTGTTAGAGCCTGGGGTGTTTGCATAAGCATGCATGTTTGTGTGGAGGGCAAGACAACTTTGGGTATGGTCCCTCAGGCGCTATCCACTTTTGTTTTGAGAGAGGGTCTCATTGGTCCGGAACTTGCCAACTGGTCTAAGGTATGTGGCCTGTGAACCCAAAGGGTCCTTCTGCCTCCACCTTCCTGGGTTGGAATTATAAATGTGCACCCTGACTTTGTATGTAGTGCTGGGATCAAATATGTTACAACTTTGAGTTGGTCAAGTTTAACAACAAAACTGCAGCTCTACTAATGATGTCTATACACAATGTCTATCCTATCTCCCTTACCTCACAAGAAATTGTATCCATTCCTTCACTGAACAAAACAGTCCCGAGCCCTCAAGCACTCAATATTATGACAGATACAAACTGAAGAACACTAGGCAAAATATGCACAGCCACTTCTCAAACTGGATTTCAGCTGAGTAGGGAGAACCCAATTCACCTGGACTGCTAAGGTTATAAAGTACATACAGCGTGCCTTGTAGAAAAAGAACCAAGACTTTAAGGACTTAATTTAGGCTAGAGAAAACAGGGAGGCATCTATGATGACACTCTGAATTCATACACTGAATTCAAAGAGATGGTTAAGAACTGGTTTATCAAAGAATGAGGAAGAACACTCTACACAGTGGGTACAGCCTTGTCATCAGCCTGGGTGGGAAAGTCTGCATGTTGCTGCATGTGACAGCAGTATGTGAGTAAGGAGATGAGGCTGGAAAATTGTGTGTGTGGCGGGGGGGTGGGGGTGGGCAGATTCCCACAGATCCTGAAGAAAGACTGTATCCTCAGTGCAGTGGGAAGCTTTGGAACATAAGACTGACAAGCAGTAGGTGTGTGATAAATACTATTTTAATTAAATTGCTAGTATTCAACATGAGAATTATGTAAGGGAAAAATCCAAATATAAAGTAAAACTCACACAATATTAAAGATCATTCTTTTTTTTCATTGTCTGCCATGGAGCTTACACAATCTTAGTTTTCCATGAAAAGTGAATATTGCTGATGGAACTTTGGATTCAACACTAAATCCAGCATTGACCTTGGACTGAACTGGCTAAAATGTAGAGGATTCCTGTATAGAAACACATACCCACTCCCTGGCCACATGAATGACCAAGAGGTCAGTATTCCAGATGCTGTGGTTTATGATATTTCTGACAGAAAATCAAGCTAATTTGGATCTTTTGGTTCTTTGCTCCTTACCTGCTTCATAGGACGGAGGGAGCCAATTGTTTTCCACCCACTAAATGCTGTCCAGTTCGGGATCTCATTGGGCTCAAGGAGGATTTGTCTTCCCAAGAAATTGGATCCTTCATAAGCTATCCATCTGCAGGAAAGCAGGACAGAGAACAGTGGGACATGACAAACAAGAAGCAGTTGACCAGAAACACCTATTACCATTATACCTGCAGGGTTCCCTCTTACAGCTTCTAGGTTTGTAGACTGGAAAAAAAAATAGAATTATGCATCTTTCTTTGATAGAAAAAGCAGGGAGGTGGAGGAGAGCCCACTGTGTCTAGAGTCAGATGTGGACTCCAGTGGAAACGTTGGGCTCCTGTACTTCCAAAATGAATGTGAGGGTCCCTCCAAGAACACTGAAGACAGACCCTGGCCTCCCACCACTGCCAAGCAGGAAAATATTCTTCCCTCCTCAGGTCATCACACAGACTTCAGGCTTCTCTGGATGGCTGAGACCCACAGACATTTTTCCTCCAACTCTGTCCATAATTTCTCAAGGCCAACAAGAAAGACTTATAAATCATTCACAGATGTGGCTCCTTTGCAAACCTTCTCCCAACTTTTGCCTTCAATTCAGGTTGTGTTAATGTGTAGAATGTGTGGGGCCTCAAAGCGAGTGCCAGGACATGTTTAGGGAGGAACTGAAGAAAGCTTGATTTATTATATCTATAAAAGCTTGAGAAGAGAGTTCTGTCCCAAACCGACTACTACTAGGAAATGTCCACCCTGTTTCCCACAACTGAGATCAAGCCTGGCCAAGTTACGGGCTTACTAAGGCGGTGAACGACTTTCCCTTGATCTGCCCCTGCCTGCTCAAATCTAAACCATCACACAGGTGCAAAGGCAGGTCAGCATGACCATATACTTAGCCAGCTCTTTAGCTTCACAGTCTTTAAAAGGATAAAATGTTTCAGTTATGAAAATTCTAGGTAAGCTTTTAGTAACTATCTCATTATATGCTGATTTTACTGAATTCTACAAATTGAGAGGTTGTGTGGGATGATGCATTAGAGCACAGCTTTCATTACCATCACAGATCCAAGATATGACATTACATACGGAATCAAAAAATAAAACTTTTACTTGAGGGTACATGGCTGTGCACGGAATGATATGTTGTAAGACATTTGTAGCCCAGGAAGGGCTTTAAACAGCTCCAACTGTTCTTGAATCTACACAGCAATTCTGTCATGGAGAATCAAGAATAGTAGATAGATAAAAAGCCACAGAGAATCGATAATGTCAAGGTAAAACCACACCCACCTTTCAAAAAGACCAAAAAGAAGCAGAGAACTTTTCAGAAGTAAGTCAATATCAATTTAGCTCAGGAATGCAGAATAATTACCATAAAGATACCGTAAAAATCCTACACTGGGTTAAAAAACATCGACTCAAGTGGTTTAGTTAATTGGTAAGTAATATTCTAGAATCCTAGACTAAGACAGAGTAAATCAATTAATTTTAATAAAGACTAAACCATGTGAAATGCTCTGCAGAAGAAAATTTAAATTGTTATATATGTGAATTATATAAAAGCCATTTACTGTAATAGTGGACCTAATTTTCATTTATCTTCTTGGCTTTTTTTGTTGATTACCCTCATATATTTAAACAAACAGAGTTGATTACTACACAATTTAAAAGCCATAAGCAATAAAAATCCATTTTTATATTAATTATCAAGAGCTAAGCATGCTTTCAAGGTGGACTTTTGGCAGAAAACATCTGCAGTGCAAGAGCAGGAGCGGCTTACACACCAAATCCCTTAGAAATGGCCAGAGAGGCAGATTTCCCAGGAAACAAAGCTTCAGCATCAGGCCTCTCAACAATTTCTGTTAAACAGAAATGCTTGAGGCAGAAGAGGTGGCTCAGTGGTTGGGAATACGGCTGCTCTTGCAGAGGACCTGGGTTCAGTTCTCAGCACCCACATGGTGGCTTACACTGTCCATAACTCTAGTTCCAAGGGATCTGACGCCCTCTTCTGACCTCCAAGGGCTTTCATGCACAGGTGCACTTACATACACACAGGCAAAATACTCATACACATAAAATAAAAATAAATCAAAACAATTTTTAATATTTTTATTTTTATTTTATGTGTATGAGTGTGTTTGTTGCCTGAGTGTATGTGAGTGCACCCTTCTCGTGCAATGCCACAGAGGTCAGAAGACGGCTTTGGATTCCCCTGGAACTGGAGTTAAGGACAGTCTGTACCAGCCATGTGGATGCTGGGAACTGAACCCAGGTCCTCTGCAAGAGCAGTCAGTGCTCTTAACCAGTGAGCCATCTCTCCAGCCCCTCAAAATGTTTCTTTTTTTAAAAATATTTTATTTATTATTTTATTTTAGCTATTTTATGCATTGATAATTTTATTTTCTAAAGACAATTTCCCCCAAGTATAAAAGCACAGGCTCTGTGCAACCTGGCTCTGCTTCGACTAATTACCTAAATGAACAAAAACACTGGTAGGCAGGATCCATCAACCTATGTGGTTTATATGAAAATGCATACACTGGAGAGAATTGCTCCACATAAACAAGCTGTCAGGTCAAAATAAAATTAAATGGTCTTAATTTTGTAAGCACCCACTTGCTTTACACAGGCAACTGTATTCACAGTCAAAATTGTTGATTTAATGAAATTTCTACTGAAAGGGAAGTGGGTTCAACCAAAGATGGTCATCTGGTAGAGCTGCTGTATGATTCATTGTCTAATGGGTACAAGCCCTCCTCCCTCAAAGAGTTCTTTTCCCAGATCACTACATGCTATTATGTACTGGACATAGCTCAGTCTTCTCTTTTTTAAACAAAAACTACTATTATATCTACAGATAAAATAAACAAGAACACCAGTAAGCTAAAACAGTAAAAAGCAACCATGCAACTTGATCCTAAATCAGTGACCAAACCTGACTAAGCCTTTCCTCAATACTTACAGTCCACTTTTTACCCACACAGACTGGGTATAGAAGTGCAAGTCCTTGTTCAAAACAGAATTCACAGCGTCTTCAAGATGTAACTCTCTTCCCTCACAATATTCCAGGGCAAAAAGGCTGATAGACGGTTCTTCAAAAACCTGACAAAAGAAAAAGCATCACCGTAGGGGCAAACATACCTAAAGCACATCCCAGACTTAAATATGTCCCTAGGACAGAAAGAAAAAGTTTTTTTTTTATTTTTTTGAGACAGGGTCACCCTGTAGCCCCAGCTGGATTCATTATGGAGACCAGGCTGGCCTCGAACTCACAGAGATCTGCCTGCCTCTGCCTCCCAAGTGCTGGGCATTCTTAATTTAAAGCATAGATGGAATGCACAGGGATGGGATGACTTTTTTCACTCAAATTAAGTATTCCCTCAACTCACCATGTCAGACAACAACAGAATCAATGCTGTTCTTTTTCAGTCATTAGTATATGCAAGGTACCTCTACAAGACTTTGGGGGTAATGAGAAACCAAACAAGGCATCATACCTGAATTTGGACATTACTAATTGGCATCTAAGTTAGGAGAACTGTACTAATAGTATAATGTAATATATATGGTTTTTTAAAAAACCACACCTGTGAAAGTACTCAAGAGAAGCCGCCTACATTCCTTTTAGTGGGAAGAGGAATCAAGGAAGCTGTATGGATGTGATGGTATTTGACTGTCAGAGAAGATATAACAGATCTAAAAGGCAGAGAGAGAATTGGGGGAAGATACTGGTGGGGGACAGAACATGCAGGCGTTTTGTTAGGGGAGCAGCCAGTACAACCAACTAGCAAGAAAACAAGCCCAATAGGAAAGGTGTTGGATGCACAACTGTCACCGTGTACTGACTTGCCAGCTTGCCTGCTACACTGACAAGGCAAAGACAGATCAACTGCCAAGAACTCCTTGGAGGCTCCTGAAACAAAAATTAAGATTGCAATGAGACATCTGCAACTTGGCAAAATGGAAGCAGCATACCAGGAGCAGGGACTGTGGCTGGGCAAATAAGAGTAAATAAAGGAGCTTAGCTTCTCCTTTTTATGCATGTGTATTTATGTGGGAGTGAATATGGGTAAAAGCCGCAGGCCCATGAGAAGAGGAAAAGGCTTGAAAGGAGAAGTCTAGGGAGAGCAATAGAACACATATGACACGAATGTGTAAGGGGAAATACTGGGGGTGGAAGGGTTTAAGTGGGGAACAGAGAAATGAGGCAGAGAAGTAGATCAGGGAGAGGGTCAACCAATTAAGAAAATATCATTTAAAAATCTGCTACTTCGCTGGGCGTGGTGGCGCACACCTTTAATCCCAGTACTCGGAAGGCAGAGGCAGGCAGATCTCTGTAAGTTCAAGGCTAGCCTGGTTTACACAGTAGGCCAGGCCAGCTGGGCTACAGGGAGAATGTATCTCAAAAAAAAAAAAAAAAAAATCTTGCTACTTCATAAGTTAATTAAAACATTTTTTTAAATGGTAAATAGATCATAAAAACTCAACTGGCTGTCACAAGTGACCTGCAGATATCCTTGCACTGGAGCAAAATGACTTGTATTTAAAGATGTATCACAGGAGGGAACTGGTTAAATAAACATGGCAATTACTCACAGAGGAATCCAATAAGCTAGAGCAAGGAACTTCTTATGAAAAAATCACCAAAATTTGTTCTTCAGAGTCAAATACGAAGAGAGACGGTGTAAAATATCATACTTCCTATGATACCAATTTTCAGAAAAAGGAAAACTGATGTATACATACATCTATACTTGTATATACATAAAATATCGCTAGGAAAAAGATAACTGATCTGAGACAGCACCTGCGAAAGTAAAGGGCATGGGAGAGGCAACAAGGGCAGAAGCTTTGCACTGGATGCCTTCTGCTACTTCTTCTCTTTGAGACACAGGAATATGCAATTTATTCAGAAATTTAAATTGGTAGCTATTGTTCACATGTTTGCATTATGCATGTTTTGTGGGTTTTTTTTTTTTTTTTTTTAATACTGCCTACAGGAAATTTCTCTGGCAACACACATGAAGAATAGAGAGGTGAGAAATAACAGTTCCAGTGTGCTGGTAGACTATTTAGGCCAAATAAAAAGAGAAAAAGAGACCTAGACATGACATGGGGGTAGGAGATACCATTAGGAATAAGGCAAGGCCAAGAAAAGCATCACAGTGCTAAAGGCCACATGCTAAGGCAAACAAATGGATACATAAGGAAAAAGAAACTAGGGCAGTGGTGGGGGTGGCTTAGAAAAGTATCTGCCATGAAAGCATCAGGACCTGAGTGTTGAGTCCTCCCACAATGCTGGGGAAGACAGTGATGGCAGCGCCACAGATGGCAACCTTGACAAGAATTGTTTTACTTGTATGTCAGAAATCTGGGCTCTGGGAATTGCGGAATAAGTGGTAAAAACATGCAGACAAGGCAGGCATATGTACTCCTGTTCAGAAATACTCATATGGAGAATGTGGGAAATAAGGGAGGGGTCTGTGAATTTGCTTATGGGTACAACAAAGGACCACAATACAAAAAGAAACTGAATGACTGAAGCCAAGGGAAATGGTTCAGAGGAGGAGTGAGATCCTATTAATGGTTCACATCACTTCAGAACTTCTTGCTGGATTGGTTCGTGAGGAAAAGGGTTATATTGAAAGAGATTTACTATAGTTCCTCTGAGATGAAAGATAAGACAAAAACTGAAAATTTTCCTTTCAAAATAGGAGAGCATATACTTTTTATATTATGTGCCCAAGGTTGTCTGGTTATCATACATTTTGCACTCTTTCCAGCAAAACTTTCCAAAGCAACAGAAACAGTGTGCACCTGCCTTTCTGATATGGTGCCATAAAACATATGTGGCGAATGAACACCTAGAATGTACTCCATAAGACCAGGGGTTGAATTCATTTAACTACATTTAAATTTATATAAGCATATGTGGCTGGTGCATGGTATTAGACAGTGCAGACCTACAGATTACAGTTTATTGCTCCATGTAGAGTGACAACAGTTAAGCTCAAAGGGAAAGACAGCCCAGGAGCATCGGTATTCCCTCTGTAAGTACCACTGACCAGGTCAGGAGCAGATATTCATTACTAGTCACTGAGTCCTCAGGCACTCCCCTTGATATCCACAAACTAAAAATTAGAAGCATCCCTAAAAATTAATAGACTAAACTAAAAATGCCTGAAAACGGGACAATCCAAATCCATAGGAAGCTTTTGGATTTACTATGGGACTATTCTGACAACTTCATCCTTGAACTTGATAGAAAGCATTTCAGCTGACCTGTGTGCCCATATCTACTTGGTGAGCTCTGGGTTAGGGAGGAAGGGCAGACAAAGAACCTGGAAATGGTCAGAACCAGCCACCAGCAACACTGTCTCCAGAGAAGATTTTGGTGTGCGAAAAGAGAGAGACAGTAAGGTCTGATAGTGCCAGTGTGAAATTTATATACGGGAAGGGAGGGAGGGGTTAAAAGGCTGTGCGAATGTAATTTAAATTCTATGTATTAGTCTAAGCAAAATGGGATGTGCGTATATCCCTTTTCCTTTTACAGAATGCCCATGAAGTCATTTTTCAAAGGGATGCACTAGCCACACAAATGCCATCAGATTTAGCTCTTCATCTAGCAGTTCTAGAAATCTAGATATTTATCTTAATGAAAAGGTGGAAAGTTTGAGGTCACAAAAGTGATTTGATCCTTTATTTTTTATTTATTTATTTTTAACTTTACAAGAAAATTATTGAGGATGTCATACATGCATATAAGGTGTTTTAATTGAATCTACAACCACTCCTTCCCCTCTAACTCCTCCCATATCTCCCCATCACTTTTTCCTGAACAACTTTATTTTCTTTCTTTCTTTCTTTCTTTCTTTCTTTCTTTCTTTCTTTCTTTCTTTCCTTTCTTTCTTTCTTTTTTTCTTTCTTTCCTTTCTTTCTTTCTTTCTTTCTTTCCTTTCTTTCTTTCTTTCTTTCTTTCCTTTCTTTCTTTCTTTCCTTCCTTCCTTCCTTCCTTCCTTCCTTCCTTCCTTCCTTCCTTCCTTCCTTCCTTCCTTTCTTTCTTCTTTTTTTTTTGGTCTTTTTGATGATTGGACAAAATGCAATACCATGATCTTCAGGAAAAAGCTGTTTTCTTTAGAATTGTGCCCAGGAATCTTCTGCTTTCTCAGTTATTTCAAGGGAGAATTTGAGAGAGAGAGAGAGAGAGAGAGAGAGAGAGAGAGAGAGAGAGAGAGAAATCTCAGCTATAGGCCTCAGATGCTAATCCTTTATATTTTTAAAATAATGCAGGGAAACTGAGGAGAAATTTATTAAATGACTGAGACAACATTTTAAAAGCTTTTCAAGTTTATATGATTGGGGCTGGAGAGATGGATCAGTATTTAAGAGCACTGGCTGCACTTGCAGAGGACCCAGGTTCATTTACCAACACCCACATGGTGGCTAACAACCATCTGTAACTCCAGTTCCAGGAGACCCAATGGCCTCTTCTGACCTCCCGTGCATTTTATTTCACAGGTGCACTTACATACATGCAGGCAATACACTCATACACATAAAATTAAAAATAATAAATAAAAATTTAAAAGAATTTATATGAATCAGTAAGCACTTTAGGAGAAAAATTAGACAAAGGTGCAAATAACACAGGCTAGCAGCATCAACCAAATAAAAGATAATGGAGATAATGGCTAATAAATCAATGTGGGGATATAACCCACTTCTCTACTAACTACATAAGGATATCATCTTCAAGCCCAGTCTATCAAACTTCTCACTCGAGAGCATCTATTGTTTTTAAACTTAAAGGTCCTTCCAAAGATCATTTTATATATATATAACAAAACAACTTTTTCAGCTTTAGAGTGTTTCAAATTATAAATATGAATAAATCTACAAGTGCCTTTGATTTATAGATATACTTAACACATTACAAAATGAAGAAGGGCAACACAGTGCTAATCTGGACAGAACTGTAGAGATATTTAATCACTGATCATTCAAAAACAGAGTATGGAAAGAAAGATTTTAAATCATCTATTTTCTGAAGCATTTCCCAAATTTGGAAATAGCAAGATACAGAATAATAAGTACTCAAAACT